ATAGCCAGTAATACAATAAACCAAGACTATAGGTTCTATCGCAGGATTAGGAACTTTGAAGTGGAGATTACACTTAAGAAGATGAAATCAAATAAGACTTTAGGGCCCGATGATATTCCTATTGAAGCTTGAAAGTGTTTGGGTAAAAAAGAGGTTACTTGGTTGACTAGGTTGTTTAGCAAAATTTTGTTGACTAGGAACATGCCAAATAAGTAGAAGAAGAATATTTTAGTGCCAATCTATAAGAATAAAGGAGATGTCCAGAATTGCAACAACTATAGAGAACTTAAACTAATGTGTTATTTAATGAAAGTGTGGGAGTAGGGATGGCAATCTAAAACCAGCCCGATGGGGACCCGACCCCCGATCCCGAATATAACGGTTATTCCCTGAAAAATACCTCCGATGGGCCGGGGATGGTGATAAAAAATAAATCCCCGATGATTTTCGGGCCAGGGCCAGGGCCAGGGACAGGGATACATATTTCAGTCCCGGCCCCGAGCCCTGCCCCGTTTGTCCCCCGGATGATATATGTATTATATATATACTCTTTTATTCTCATCTCTATCTTTATTCATTTGATATATACTTTTTTATTCTCATCTTTATTCATTTGATCTACTCTCTCTCTCTCTCTCCATTCCTCACATCTTTCTTCAAGGAAGAGTCTTCCTCTCCTCCACTGTCTCTCTCTCTCTTCCATCCCATCTCTCTCTCCCTCGCACTCACTCACTCACTCACCGTCTCTGATCTCTGTCGTGCTCACCGTCTCTCATCTCTCTCTCCCTCTCACTCACTCACTGTGAAGAAGCATCTGAAGCCATTGAAGAAGCCATTGAAGAAGCATCTGAAACAAGCAGATCTATGATGATTGAAGTAGATCTATAATGATTGAAGCACATCTAAATGTTTTTTTTATAGATATAGATCTGAAACAAACTGATCTATGATTTTTTTTGAAAAATCAAGATCTTTATATATATGGATTCAGATCTAACTTTTTTTTTTTTAACATATCTAAATGTTTTTTTTTTTTGATATAAATCTTTATATATATGGATTCAGATCTAATTTTTTTTTTTTAACATATCTAAATGTTTTTTTTCAGGATCTTTATATATATATATAAATGTTTAGTAGATCTATAATTTTTTTTTGGATCTGTGTGTTGAATTTGTTGAATAGTGTGTTTGATTTTGTTAGCTGATGATCTATGTTGATGTTGATGCTGATTTTGTTTTTGTTTGTTTTTTGTATTTTTTTTTTGGCCGGGGAAATATCGGGGTCGGGGAAACCCGATCCCCGTTAGGGGACGGGGATGGGGACGGTAATAACTTTCCCGTCGGGGATCGGGGCCGAGGACGGGGGGGGTTTTGCCATCGGGGATCGGGGACGGGGAGTGCGATCCCTAGCCCCGCCCCGCCCCGTTGCCATTCCTATGTGGGAGAGGGTGATGGAACGCCGATTACGAGATATAACAGAGGTGTCAGAGAATCAATTTGGGTTTATGCTTGGTAAGTCAACAACGGAAGCGATATATCTTTTAAGGAGAGTAATAGAAAAGTATAAAGAAAACAAAAAAAAAGAAAAGAAAAGAAAAGAAATATTTATATGGTGTTTATTGATCTTGAGAAAGCATATGATATAATGTCTCGAGATATAATATGGTGGATGTTAGAGAAGAAAGGAAAATGTTAGATTGATGTGATTAAGGACATGTATGAAGGAGTGGTGACCACTATTAGATCGCCTACTGGAGAGACAAATGAATTTTCCATCACTGTAGGGTTACACCAAGGATCTACCTTAAGTCCTTATCTTTTTGCTTTAGTTATGGATGAGTTGACGACAAATATTCAGAATGACATGCCATGGTGTATGTTTTTTGCAGACGATATCATGAAAGTGGATGAGACCAGAGAAGAAGTTAACACAAAGTTGGAGATTTGGAGAAAAGCTCTTGAATCTAAAGGATTCCGGATAAGCAGAACTAAGACAGAGTACATGGAGTGTAAATTTAGCAAAAGTAACAATGAACGCAGAGGAGAAGTGAAGATTGAGAACCAAGAACTGTCTACGAGTGAACATTTCATTATTTAGAGTCGACTATCACAACAGTGGGAGAGATTGATGCGGATGTGACCCAAAGAATTAAGACGGGATGGTGTAAGTGGAGAAGTGCGTCTGAGGTACTGTGCGATAAATGAATACCCACGAGACTAAAAGGTAAGTTCTATAAAACGGCTATTAGACCAGCGATGTTGCATGGAATGGAGTGTTGGGCAACCAAGAAACAACATGTCGATAAGATGAGTTTGGCTGAGATGAGGATGCTAAGGTGGATGTGTGGCAAGACTAGACAAGACAGAATTAGAAATGAGTGTATTCGGAAATGGGTAGGAGTAGCACCGATAGAAGATAAGTTGAGAGAAAATCGATTGAGATGGTTTGGTTATATTCAACGGTGACCAACAAAGGCAATAGTGAAGAGATGCGATGCTGTAACGGTAGATGGAAGTGTTAGGAGATGGGGTAGGTCTAGATTAACGTTGGCTAGCGTTATAAATAGAGATATGAATTTACTTAATTTGACTAATGAAATGGCCTTTGATAGGGCCGCTCGGAGAAGAAAAATTCATGTAGCCGACCTCATTTGATGAGACTTAAAGCTTTGTTTGGTTTATAAAGTTTTAAAATACAATATTGATTTCTATCAACACAAAAATGTAAATAATATTTCTATTGACTAGACATTCTTTGTCAACACAGTTGAGTATAAAAATATGATCATATAGTTGAACATATTCTTTGTCAGCAAAGCATTAACTTACAAAAAAAAGTAACTATTACTATATGTCTTCATCTACTAAAATTAAGTCATTTGAAAAGATTGTGCTTGACACTTGTTTATGATATAAAAAACATTTATGATAGGCTCGAATCAAAACCTCAAACAATGTTTCTCAATAAATGTAATCAAGTAACTTGCTAGAAAATCGTCTTCTATATAGTTTAGCCTGACAAATTTCATAGTTGAAAATGCGCATTCATATGCAAAATTGAAACATGTAAAATTAACACAATATTAATCAATTGATGAATAAGAGGTTAATTCGTTTCAATAAGCAATATCAAATTTCATGCTCACAATTTTGGGAATGTTAAGCACACACAAAATTCCCGTTTCTATATGATGAACAAACAAGAATGGAAGCAAAAAAAGGGACATAAACAAATTAAAGTGCGCTGGAAAAACATCAATGACACATGGTCATAAAATAAGAACAGTAGGATACAAGAACAAATATATATAATGAAAAATGTAGTAGCAAACACAAGATAAATATTGGATAAAATTCGACTAATTTTATACTCTAATTTTGAGGGTGTGAAATACTCTAATTTTATAATTATCTTGTTCTGGAATTTTGGGGCTGCAACCACCCCTAAGATCTGTCCATGATTGGAGGAACATATTTTTAAGTAGGACCAAGTGGATCTAGTAGGTTGGCTTACGTGGCATGACCTCAGGTAGAGGTGCCATGTGGTGCGACATGAACCGTTGAGATAAGGGCGGAGGGTAAAGCTTGGTCAACATATGATTCCTAAATTATGTAATCATGGTGAAATAGGGAACTAACTAAGTTGGCTAAGGAAAGGATACCAGAGAGGTTAAATCCAATCCAATTAGAAGAGTGTCCCCCCTTGCTAGGCAAGTATATTCCTAGATGGAAAAAGAATATTTGTGTGTCCCATAAGGAGAGTGTCCCATATGTGTGTATAAGTTTTATAGCTTTTAGTATTCGTGCTATAGAGTATTATGGAGAGAAAGTTGTTGCAGCCTAATTAGCTTTCACTATTAACTTTTGATGCCCAATTAGGTGACCATTTAAATACACTATCAACTTTTGCAGCCTAATTAGGTTACCATTTTAAACACATTTTCAACTTTAGCAAGTATAAAATGTGAGGATGTGTCAAAATATTATTCAGGTCATCGGGATATTGATGAGGTTTTATGGGTTTAAAGTTCACTTGGCCATACCTAGGCTGTCCAGTCCACCTGTTGAGCACTGCTAAGTAGCACCCTTTGTAATAGTACTAATCTTCCTATAAAAGAGTACTTGTAAAAAAATCAGAAGGAAGCTGACCAAAAGGAAATTATAAATCCCCACACCATGTAGACTCCAAGGGATACAGCTTCCAACTCCATTTCTCATGTGTAATGGCAAAGAAGCAACAAGAAAGTACTCCCTCTGTCCCATATTGTTGGTCCATCTTTCTCCATTTTCTTTTTTTTGGTAAGTTAAATGTTTCTTATAAGATCCATCTTTCTCCATTTTGAAAAGTCAAAATATAAATAAGAAATAAAAGGGGCCATATGGTAAATTACTATATTTTGATTTGATTTTACAGCAATAATTACATGTTCCCTAAAAAGTTGGAATTTCCAAAAGGGACGACGGAGGGAGTAATATAACAGGAAATTTTAACCGCGTCTGTGTAACACAAACATGTTAGCAAAATACTCAAAACACAGTAATTGCATTAGAAGATGGTAAATGATAGACACAAAATTCCCAGTATTCATGCAGAGATGGAAAAGCCCCCCGCACAAGCCTTACACGCTAACACATACTGCACACCTTTTTACATCTAATATTCAATTCTAGACAACAAAGCCCTTGGGTTGGCTAGTTGAAATTTTTTCCAACTAACTACCCTAAGCCATTTCATTAAAAATAAAAATAAAAAAAAAAAAAAAAAAAAAAAAAAGAAGAAATTCCGTACGATCAATTTTAATGAAGAAAGTGATGAATGGAGCCTACCTCACACCATAGACAAAACATATATTCAATACAAGAAAGAAATTTCACATGCCACAAATATAGACATATTTATGCACGGACAGGGCAAAGATAAGTGATATGCATATGCACTTGGATAAGGAAGAAAAATATAAAACGTCAAGGGTTAACCTAACAACAAAGGAAACTCACTTTTTGGGGAATTCCCAGACCCAGCTCTGATTAATCTGCTACCATAAACGGATCTACTTCCCCGAGATCAGCAACCAGAGGTTCCAACTCTTCTATGTTCTCATCTTCTGGGGCAAAATATGTAGGAAATGGAAGCATCGAAATATCTGGTTTTTTGTAAACAGCATCTTTTATAAACACAAAGTTTCCTTCAGCTCCTGGAACCTGCGAAAGAATAGCATCTCTGTAAGGATACACAAAGACTTAAAATAAATTAGCACCAAAAAAATAAAAAGTACTAGACATTGGAAATTATCAAAAGTTTTTTGGTGTCTGATATCAACTTGGCTGTATTGTTCACAACGGAATTCCTAGCATGCAAAGACTTCCATTGATTGAGTTTTCCTATGCATCTGTCTCATGATATTTTTGTCAACTATCAACTCATTTCTTAGTAGAGTACCATTGATGGCTATTCAAACATTCATCATGGGGATCTTTAAAAAAGAGGGGTATGAAGGTGAGCTCATATCTTTTGGCATTTTGTGCCGAAGACCTAAGATCAAATCTCGCTGTCATCAGCATTGGGAGTTTTATGGTCATGGGGAGGGCATCCCTCCATTGTGTAGAACATTAATATTGGATCCCAAGAAAAATAAATGATAAATAAGGGGTGAAGGAGTAGGATATCAGCAGTGTCAGGATTTTGTTGGACTGCCAGCATATCAATTGTTCACATAGGCAGAACACAACCCCTTAGCTTTTAACTAAGCATTCACATTAGAAAGATTAAAAGGTTAGGAAAATCATACTTGGCCTCTCACCCACATCAAGTTCCTTGCTGGGTCTATTTTGTAAACCCAAACATTCTTAACTGTCCGTTGCTTGCCACCCATGCGCCCAGGCATCTTTCTGCCTTTGAAAACCTATTCAAACAACATATTAAGAATGTAAGCCATAATATACATCCACAGTCAAACTACTGTTCACAAAGAAAAAGTTTGGAGAAACTTTCCTCCCCCACTTTCTTCCTTCAAGAGAGATGTTTGAACACACCCTTTTCCAAATTCAAAACAAAATTTGACGTACAACATTCTAAACAAACCCAAAGTGACACCTTAAAATAATTTCCCCATTCACCACAAAAATTTAAATAAATAAATAAAATGTTTATGTTTATGATAGTAGGGTATGCTTCTGCCACGATATTTTGTATGGTCATTGTCCTTTGATGGAGTTTCTTCCTGATTTGCGTTGGATTACAGTGGATAAAAAAGTTGTGGCAGATTTTATCTGTATTTCTACTACAGGAGTTTTATGGACACCCAATTTAATAGGGCATTTAATGACTGTGACATGGAATTTGTTGAGGCCCTTCTAAGGAGATTCCAAGGATATCACGGCTTGAAGACCTTTGACGTGTACTTGGTGAGTTCGTTCTACATTTCTTTTTGGAAGTTGGGGGGTTCATATTTTCCTTGAAAAGGAACATGCCATTTGGAACTTAGATTTGGGGAGAGATTTGTGGAGTGAAAAGTAAATGAAATACAAGCTAATGTTTATCACAAATCCTTTCCCTTTTTCTTTTCCCTCAACAAATCCAAGATCCAAACAAAACATAAGACAAATTTTTTGCTTAGACGGCAGCTAGGGAGTCCATTTAACTCCGGATAACCCTTAGTTGAGGGAAGTTTTTGCAGAATAGTGTTACACGCGCAAGTAGGTGGGGGAGGCTACAAACCACCCTTTTTTTGGTGTTGAGTGGGTGATGTCCCATACAATTAAGGACATGTTTGCCTCTTGGAGATATATGGATGCTTGAGAGGCATATATGTGTTTTTTCGTGTTTATGGAAGGAGAAAAATAGCAGTTATGTTTCAGAATGATGAAAGCTCTATCCTATGCTTGAAGGGAAACCTTCTCGTGTCCCTTTATCTTGGCTTAGAGTTCTTTCCTTTTGGTCTTAATTGTTTCGGGGGGAACCATATGTTTCTGTAGAGATATAGTGGTATAGTCTTGATGTACTTCATTCATACAGGATTAGTATCCCAATTTTGGCATCTCTTCTAATAAAGTCACTTATATCTAAAAGAATTAAGTCCCAGGCTTTTCATTTAATGTCATTTGTTACTAGTTTGTCTCTATAAGTTAAATATTTGTGTAGGGTAATGTGAATCACTTAATTTTAAGGTGTTAATGTTTCTTCCTTCATTAAGACCAAAATAAACTCTCACAGCATAATGGAAATTCACTACAGAGAGACATTCTTGGATCTTACTGAAAACTTGGAAATCACTATCTTCTTGATCCTTCTTGCATTTTTGTTACGTATCCACTTTTCGTTCTATATTTCCTAAATTATGCATTCTATGTTTCCGATGGGATGGGATTTGGTCAGATAACTATGCTTCTAGACAACATTCAAACAAGATTACCTTCATAAAAATAAGAAGAAAAGGCCAAAACAATTCATCTTCTGGATACAATTAAGGTAAAGCATCTAATCCATACAAGATAGTGAGATTGTGTTTAAACTGGATCTCCGTAACTGCCTCCCCAAAATCTTGGTTGTCTTTGTTTCTTTCTTTTGTGTGTGTGTGTTAGGGGCAACTCCTCTAGTAAGCAGGCAACTAGTCCACATTAACCCAAAAGTTAACAGTAAGACAGTTTTTTACTATACATTTCCTAATAATAGCCAAATTGCGTAGATTTGCTCATGGATGAACTAATTAATAATGAATTTCCAAAGAAAAACAATAAGCTGCTAAAAAGTGAAGTAATAATTAGACATCCAGTACCATTCAGTTTTAAATGAAATTTCACCAAACAAGAAGGGGTGCACACACCTTTCCAGGAGCATCCCTTTGACCAGTAGAACCAATACTTCGATGTGACAATGATGCACCGTGAGATGCAGGATTTCCTTTCATTCCCCATCTTTTCATCCCACCCTGGCAATAAAACAAAAACAAGTTACTAATTTAAGACAGAGTATGATCTTTCTCACTGCATGAACAAGGCTCTCAAACAACATATTTTATGGAATGATCACTCTCCTGAAGAAGCAACCTCCTATACACCTCCCAAAAGCAACCTCAAAGAATTGACATACCCATCACATTTCGAGAGCTGAGAAGTCAACCACTCTCTGTAAACCCATACATCATTCTTCCAGACCAAAACTACTGATATTTTCCATGTGCACAATAACACTCTAGCTAATTCACTTAAAATTTGGCACCAGTTAATTAGCATCTACACTGTATTTCACTATTTTCACACAAATTGGCATGTTATGTTCTTGCCGTGGCTATGCTACATACATTGGGGGTGTTTGGGAATAGCACTAAAAGACAAAATAGACTAAAATAGCCAATAAGACAAAATGTCACATCAAATCTATAGTCATTTCACTTTTTCTCTCACAAACATCACATCCAACTACAAAAAAATCCAACTATCTTCCCAAATATAAAAATTTTAGCCTCTTAAAATAGCCAAAAACTAAAATAGCCTACTAAAATATTAACTTTCCAAACACCCACATTATGCCCAATAATTTGTGGGTTTGATAGTTGTAACTACTGCAACTAAGACAATAAAAGTTAATCAACAATGATATATGTCCTGGTGAGAATCCATTAGTGTGTTCCTGGGTTCAGTAAATATGATCCCAGTTGATGAGTTAGTCATTTATGCAACCAATAACTGAAAGTTGAAACATGAAATGGAACACTAAAAATTTGGAGCAATGCCCTAAGGCTGTTTAATAGTGCAGCTGTTGATGATAAACATTGAAAGGGGATTAAAAGAAAAATGAAGAAGCAAACGGGAGAAGATTGGGAGGAGGAGGAGGAGGAGGAGGATAGCAAATGAAGAGCAAGAAATTGACCTGAAAACCTTTCCCTCTTGTAATTCCAGTGACATCAACAAACTGGCCAGGAACAAAATGGCGAACACCAATGGAAAAACCAAGAGGAAGAAGTGCATCCTCTGAGACTGGGAATTCCCTCAATTTCCTCTTCATTGGAACACCCTGAGCTCTGAAATGACCCACTTCAGGTTTCGTCAAATGTTTTTCTTTCTTATGCCCGCAACCAATCTAGCAAACACACCAAATCTATATTGATATTTCAACAACACAAACAAACAAACAAACCCAGTATACAAATTTCAAAACAGAACAAAAAAAAAACCCTCTTTTTTTTAAGGGGGAAAAAAAAGAGCAGATTATATAACATTAATAAAGTAATTGAACAAGGCATGGTTAGAGTGAGTGATGGAACCTGAAGAGCAGAGATTCCTTCATTTTGGGGGCTCTTGACTTGAGATACGATGTTATCGTCCAACCAAAGAATGCTGATGGGAACCCTGGCCCCCCACTTGTCCCAAAGTGCGGTCATTCCACACTTGACAGCGATGACGCCGGTTCTCTTCGAATTGGGAGTCATAACTCCAGGTTTAGGTTCGATGATTCGAGTGTGCGATTGATTCATGTCACATGATTCATTCAGAGCACTAAAGCTGCTGCTGCTGCTTTTGAAGAAGAGGAGGGGGGTTGTGGTGGTGGTGGTGGTGGGTACTGTATGAGTTGAAGAATAATGTATTCTTGGACTGATAGAGAATAGACGGAGGCGATAAATGAGGCCTCTAGATGCAGTTGACATGGCAAATAATCTCGAATCGAATAAGTAATTGATCACCCTCTCTCTCTCTCTCTAGCTTAGCTTTGGGAGATAGCAAAGCTCATCAAATCGAATACTCTTGATAAGGGTTTCAAGTTTCAACAAAGCAGACCAAGGTATTGCTGCTGCTGTTCAGCGAGAGAGAGAGAGAGACGAAGCTCCAGTATGGGCCAGTCTGGCAGCCCTATTTATGGACCAAAATAAAAATTTCCCAAGTCCTAAAAAAGTAGAGAGCTCAAAATTCAAAAATACTGTAGACAAGTAATTATAAATGCAAGAAATAAACAGTTAACAACAAGAAACACACAGCCACAATTGGTGCATTATCCTAGAATAGCCCTAAACCCTATAATTCGAAAGGTATCGATACAACATTGTTTTCATGGATGCCTCTTTTATGAGGACAAGTTTTATTTAAAAACGTAAAATTTATAGCTAAATCAAGTGAAAGACAATGAGAGAGAGAGAGAGAGACAGAGAGAAAGAAAACTAGAGATGCTAGGGCATAACGATGAAACAGAAAAATCGAAGAGAAAATTTAGATTTAGTCAATACAAATACTTAGATACATACAAATATAATGCACGAGAGAGAGAGAGAGAGGAGGTGTTATGATTTAAGAAGTTTTGGATTCAGTTAGCTTAGTTGACAGCTGAAATTCAGGAATTCAGTTTGAGAGGGAGAATTAGTTTGAGAGATTGTTTAATTGTTGGGGGGTTAGTTCGTTGGTTAGGAGGTTTGTTAGTTAATTAGTATTGGATAGGGTTATTCCAGCTGTATATAGCTACGGTAGAGGAGGAAAAAAGGGTATCGGATTGTAATCAAGTTTTATGAGAAAAGGGTGAATGGACTCCAAATTTAGTTTTCTATTTTCTCTCTTCTTTTTCTTCAATTACTGCTTTCTTCTTTCATAGTCATATCAATTGGCATCAGAGCAAGGCTATTCTTGGCCAGCAAGAGAGATTCCATAGAAATGGCAAATGGGACTAGGGCACAAGAATAAAAAAAAAATCAATGAAGCAATACGAACTCTTAAAGACAGCAATGATAGGCAAGCACGGGATATCAGAGAGATCAGAAATTCATTGAAGGATGTGAATGAAATCAAGGAATTGATTTTTGCAATGAATGTCAAGTATGATCAAATGGCAAATGGAGTTTTTGGAAATCATCCAGAAACCATGAAAGCTTCTCAGGTTCGTTCGGATTCATCTCAATTATCTACTTTCTTCAATACCAGATATGCAAGAATTGATTTTCCAAGATTTTTTGGGGAAGATGCCACTGAATGGTTTTATAAATGTGAGAGATTCTTCGATTATAACTCGGTTGAAAGTGCATATAAGGTGAAACTAGGCATTTTGCATTTACAGGATAAGGCCCTTCAATGGTACCAATAGTTTGAGAAATGCCATCGCCAGATTAATTGGGATCTGTTCAAACAAGGAATTATTTCTAGATTTAGGTTCAATTCTTATGAAGATGCAATAGGTGATTTGACCAAATTAAGGCAAACAACCACTATGAAGGAATATCAGGAACAATTTGAGATTCTGGAAAATAAAACCAGTGGTTTACCATAAGCTTTTTTCATTAGTTGTTTCATCAGTGGGTTAAGAGAAGACATTAAGATAGGGGTGTTAATGTTCAGGCCTACTACTATAGTTCAGGCCATTGGATTGGCTAAAATGCAGAAGAATAGCATTGAAGCCATAACAAGAAGAGCAAAACAAGGGAATAGAGTGGGAGAATCTACTTTTTCCCATCAGGCCAAACAAAATTTATTTATGAATCTTGTGAAGAAAGAACTACCAAAGGACTTGGAAGAAAAAAAGCCAAAGGATTATGTTTCAAATGCAATGAGAAGTATACAAGGGGCCATATCTGTAAAAAGAAACAATTATATGCTCTGGAGGTTGAACAAGAATATCAGGAACAAGTGGAAGAGGAGGGTGAAGATGTGGATGAAGACCAGATTCCAGAAGAGGAATTACAGATTTCTATTAATGCCCTGTTTGGCTCTATTTCCTATAGAACTATGAGGGTAAAAGGCAATGTCAAGAAAAGGCTAGTCATGATCCTAATAGACTCGGGAAGTACTCATAATTTCCTAAGTCCAAAAGTAATCAAGAGAGTTGGGATAATGGCCTCAGAGACAGACCCATTACCAGTTTCAGCTGCTGATGGAACCAAACTAATGAGCACAACAATATGTAAAGGATTTCGGTGGGAAATGCAGGGTACCGAATTTCAAGCTGACATGAGGATTTTGCAACTCAAAGGGCTGTGACATGGTTTTGGGAATTCAGTGGTTAGCAACATTGGGTCCAGTGAAATGGGATTTCAAGAATCTTAGCATGGGGTTTCAGTTGAATGATAGAAGGGATGTGCTAAGGGGAGGAAAGAAAAAAGAATTGACAGCCATTGGGGCTAATAAGTGAAAAAGATAATTTAGAAACAAGCACATGGAGTTGTAGCTCAGGTGTACTCTCTTCAAGCTAAATGTAATGAACTAGAAGATAGATTGCCACCAGACTTGGAAGCATTATTGGTTGATTATGAAGATATTTTCCAAGAACCTAAGACCCTTCCTCCAACCAGAGCTCATGACCATTGCATACCATTAAAACCAGGGACAGAACCTACCAATATCAAGCCCTACAGGTATCCCTATTCCAAAAGACTGAGATTGAAAAACAGGTTAGCGAGATGTTAATTTTAGGAATTATTAGAACCAGTGTTAGTCCTTATTCTTCACCTGTGCTATTAGTTAAGAAAAAGGATGGGAGTTGGAGAATGTGTATTAATTATCGAGCCCTAAATAAAGCTACTGTGAAGGATAAATTTCCTATTCCTACTATAGATGAACTCCTTGATGAAATGTGTGGTGCTAAGTATTTCTCTAAACTGGATTTGAGATCTGGTTATCACCAGATAAGGGTAACTCCTGCAGACATTTACAAAACTGCATTTAGAACCCATGATGGACATTATGAGTTCATGGTAATGCCATTTGGGTTAACAAATGCCCCATCTACTTTTCAAAGCTTGATGAAAGAAGTTTTCAGGCCTCACTTAAGGAAATTCATCTTAGTATTTTTTGATGACATTTTAGTATACAGTAGTACATGGACCAATCATTTGCATCATTTGCAAGCTACTTTGCAGTTGCTGCAAGTTCACCAATTGTTTGCCAAAAGGTCCAAGTGTGTGTTTGGTAAAGAGGAGGTAGAATACTTGGGGCATTTGGTTTCAGGGGAAGAGGTTTCTGCTAAACCAACCAAAATTACAGCTATGACTAGTTGGCCTGTACCTGCTACTTTAAAGGAACTAAGAGGATTTCTTGGCCTTATAGGATACTATAGACGGTTTGTTCAGGGTTATGGAAAAATTTGTTCTCCACTCAATCAATTACTCAAAAAGGATTCCTTCCAATGAAACTTAGAAGCTGCAGTGGCATTTGAACAGCTTAAGGCAGTAATGACCACAATACCAGTTCTGGCTTTGCCTAATTATACTAAAGAATTTGTGGTGGAATCAGATGCATCGGGAAAAGGCTTAGGGGCTGTGCTAATGCAAGAGGGACATCCGATAGCTTTTTAGAGTAAAGGCTTATCTGCACGAGATCAACTTTTATCCACCTATGAAAAAGAATTAATGGCAGTGGTCTTGGCTGTACTCAAATGGAGGCATTACCTTTTGGGTAGGAAATTCCTTATCAGAACAGATCACCAAAGCTTAAAGTATCTATTGGAGTAAAGCGTGGGCACCCCATTCCAACAGAAGTGGGTCACTAAATTGTTGGGTTATGATTATGAGATCGTTTACAGATGTGGAAAGGAGAATAGGGCAGCGGATGCTTTGTCTAGGAGAGAGGATACAACAGATAACCCTGCTACTTTGCATGCTATCACTTTTGTGTCTACTAGTTGGTTAGCTGAAATTAAGCAAAGTTGGATATCTGATCCAGTGGTGCAACAGGTCATTGCTGATTTGATTCTTGATCATACTTCCCATATAGGTTATCGTTGGGAGCAAGGGATTCTGACCTAAAAAGGCAAATTGGTGGTAGGGAACATGCCTCAGCTCAAGTTTCAGATTATGGAGGAATTTCATTGCTCTGCAGTAGGTGGGCATTCAGGGATTGATAAAACCAGTAAGAGAATTCAAAGAACTTTGTATTGGAAAGGGTTAAAGAAAGATGTTTCGAAGTTGGTTTCCGAATGTGACATTTGTCAAAGGTTTAAGAGTGAAAATGTGAACTCACCTGGATTGTTACAGCCTCTTGCTATTCCAAATCAAGTTTGGTCTGATATCTCTATGGACTTTATTGAGGGTCTTCCCAAATCACACGGCAGATCTGTTATATTTGTGGTCGTTGACAGGTTAACTAAGTATGGCCATTTCATGGCACTTTCACATCCATACACAGCCAAAAATGTTGCTCAAGTATTCCTGGATCAAGTTTACAAATTACATGGACTGCCCTCATCTATCGTATCCGAAAGAGATGCAGTCTTCACTAGCAATTTCTGGCATGAGCTTTTTACTTTGCAAGGTTGCAAATTGTGTTTAAGTTCCGCTTATCATCCACAAACTAATAGCCAGACAGAGATCTTAAACAAGTGCTTGGAGAACTATTTACGATGCATGACAGGTGACTGTCCTAGGAACTGGGCTAAGTGGCTTTCTTTAGCTGAATGGTGCTACAACACTTCCTATCATTCAGCCATCAAAACCACTCCATATTACGCTGTTTATGGCCAAGATCCACCAAACCACACCTTCATTGCTTCCAACCCCTCTGCTATGGCTGAGGTGGATAATTGGATATGGTAAAGAGCTTCAATTCTCAGAATGTTGAAGGACAATCTACATCAAGCTCAACATAGGATGAAGCATTATACTGATACGCATAGATCCGACCGTGAATTTGAACCACATGACTGGGTTTACTTGCGGCTGCAACCTTATAGGCAGTCTACTTTGGCATTACACAGGAATATGAAGATTGCTCCTAGATTTTATGGTCCATTCAGGTTGTGGCAAGAATTGGAAAGGTTGCTTATCAGCTCCAGCTACCTGCTTCTGCCCACTTCGATCCCGTGTTTCATGTTTCTTTGTTAAATAAAAAGTCGGGTCAGCACATAGTCGCACAGCCTACATTGCCCCCAGTCGCACCTGATGGTACTTTCCAAATGGAACCTGTGGCAGGGCTGGACAGACGTATGGTTAAGAGGAACAACAAGGCGGTGGCTCAACTCCTCATTCAGTGGTCTCACTCATTTCCAGAGGATGCTACTTGGGTGGACTACCAGGACATCATTACCAAATATCCCCATTTCCAGCCTTGAGGTCAAGGCTGTTTTTAAGGGGTGGGAAATGTTATGATTTAGGAAGTTTTGGATTCAGTTAGCTCAGTTGGCAGCTGAAATTCAGGAATTCAGTTTGAGAGGGAGAATTAGTTTGAGAGATTGTTTGATTGTTGGGGGGTTAGTTAGTTGGTTACGAGGTTTGTTAGTTAGTTAGTATTGGATAGGGTTATTCCAGCTGTATATAGCATATAGCTACGGTTGAGGGGGAAAAGGGGCATCGGACTGTAATCAAGTTTTATGAGAAAAGGGTGAATGGACTCCAAATTTAGTTTTCCATTTTCTCTCTTCTTTTTCTTCAATTACTGCTTTCTTCTTTCATAGTCATATCAGGAGGAGACCTGGGTGGATATAAAAGAGAGTTGAGAGAGGCAGAGGAGGTACTCTAGCTAGTCAAGAATGAGGAAAACATAAATCCAAAAGATACACAGACAAAACACAAAAGAGAGATTCACAGGAGAGAGAGAGAGAGAGAGAGAGAGAGATAGGAAAAATAGGACTCACCGGAAACAAGTTGGCCGAAACCGTCGTCGAGAAAGTGAGAGGTGAAGCGGCAACAGAGAGAGAGAAGCTACACGCAGTGACTGAGAAACTAACCCTATTTATATGTAAGATTTTGTTTAACTTTTTTTTTTATTTTTTGGCCATAAAAGAAAAAAAATTAAAAAATTATACACTCTGTTTTAAAATATGTATAATAATCTTAGAGAAAAATAAAAACGGAAAAATGGAGGGGAGCACCATAAATAATAAATAAAAAGTCTTTGCAATTTTTAATTGACTTTGGATATATATTACACTACAAATTATTTACAAAAAATATATATTATAAATATTAATAATTAATATTATAAACTTTTTCACGTAATAAGTATTTAAAAACTACATTGAACAATAATTTCCCTTATAAATTACACGAATACATGTTTTTTTTCTTGGGAAAATTGTCCTAAGGCCCCTCCTCTACTTTTAATATGAGGAGAGGTCCTTTATAATATGTTTTGATGGCTAAGGTCCCTCAAATTTATTTTAGGTTATAAAGTACCTAAATTAGCCTTCCTTTATAACATAAATTTGTTTGAATATTATATGGTTGACTTAACTGATACATTTTGGAAACCGAATTTGAAGGGGAGATTTTGTCGGAGTTTTCGTCGGAGATTTCAGTGGAGATTTTATGGTGGAGATTTCGTCGGAGATTTCAGTGGAGTTGACGAGAAAGATTGCTACGATCGTGTAGATTTTGTTGGAGATTTCGTCGGAGATTTCAGTGGTGTGATAGTGTATTGATCGCGTAGATTTTCAGTGGAGTTGAATCAGGTTTGTTTTCGATGGAGATAGCACATGCATTTTGATATTTGTTTTGAATTTTTGTGTAGAGAGAGGCCAGCTTGATAGAGTTGATTTTTATTTTTGGAATTAATTTTTTATTATTTGTTTTTTAATCAATTTGAAAGAGGGTTGACAGTGTGTTGATCGCGTAGATTTTTGAGTTGAGTTGAATTAGGTTTGTTTTCGATTTAGATTCCAAATGTATTTTGATTTTTGTTTAGAGAGAGGCCAGCTTGATAGAGTTGATTTTTATTTTTGGAATTAATTTTTTATTATTTGTTTTTTAATCAATTTGAAAGAGGGTTGACAGTGTGTTGATCGCGTAGATTTTTGAGTTGAGTTGAATTAGGTTTGTTTTCGATTTAGATTCCAAATGTATTTTGATTTTTGTTTAGAGAGAGGCCAGCTTGATAGAGTTGATTTTTATTTTTGGAATTAATTTTTTATTATTTGTTTTTTAATCAATTTGAAAGAGGGTTGACAGTGTGTTGATCGCGTAGATTTTTGAGTTGAGTTGAATTAGGTTTGTTTTCGATTTAGATTCCAAATGTATTTTGATTTTTGTTTAGAGAGAGGCCAGCTTGATAGAGTTGATTTTTATTTTTGGAATTAATTTTTTATTATTTGTTTTTTAATCAATTTGAAAGAGGGTTGACAGTGTGTTGATCGCGTAGATTTTTGAGTTGAGTTGAATTAGGTTTGTTTTCGATTTAGATTCCAAATGTATTTTGATTTTTGTTTAGAGAGAGGCCAGCTTGATAGAGTTGATTTTTATTTTTGGAATTAATTTTTTATTATTTGTTTTTTAATCAATTTGAAAGAGGGTTGACAGTGTGTTGATCGCGTAGATTTTTGAGTTGAGTTGAATTAGGTTTGTTTTCGATTTAGATTCCAAATGTATTTTGATTTTTGTTTAGAGAGAGGCCAGCTTGATAGAGTTGATTTTTATTTTTGGAATTAATTTTTTATTATTTGTTTTTTAATCAATTTGAAAGAGGGTTGACAGTGTGTTGATCGCGTAGATTTTTGAGTTGAGTTGAATTAGGTTTGTTTTCGATTTAGATTCCAAATGTATTTTGATTTTTGTTTAGAGAGAGGCCAGCTTGATAGAGTTGATTTTTATTTTTGGAATTAATTTTTTATTATTTGTTTTTTAATCAATTTGAAAGAGGGTTGACAGTGTGTTGATCGCGTAGATTTTTGAGTTGAGTTGAATTAGGTTTGTTTTCGATTTAGATTCCAAATGTATTTTGATTTTTGTTTAGAGAGAGGCCAGCTTGATAGAGTTGATTTTTATTTTTGGAATTAATTTTTTATTATTTGTTTTTTAATCAATTTGAAAGAGGGTTGACAGTGTGTTGATCGCGTAGATTTTTGAGTTGAGTTGAATTAGGTTTGTTTTCGATTTAGATTCCAAATGTATTTTGATTTTTGTTTAGAGAGAGGCCAGCTTGATAGAGTTGATTTTTATTTTTGGAATTAATTTTTTATTATTTGTTTTTTAATCAATTTGAAAGAGGGTTGACAGTGTGTTGATCGCGTAGATTTTTGAGTTGAGTTGAATTAGGTTTGTTTTCGATTTAGATTCCAAATGTATTTTGATTTTTGTTTAGAGAGAGGCCAGCTTGATAGAGTTGATTTTTATTTTTGGAATTAATTTTTTATTATTTGTTTTTTAATCAATTTGAAAGAGGGTTGACAGTGTGTTGATCGCGTAGATTTTTGAGTTGAGTTGAATTAGGTTTGTTTTCGATTTAGATTCCAAATGTATTTTGATTTTTGTTTAGAGAGAGGCCAGCTTGATAGAGTTGATTTTTATTTTTGGAATTAATTTTTTATTATTTGTTTTTTAATCAATTTGAAAGAGGGTTGACAGTGTGTTGATCGCGTAGATTTTTGAGTTGAGTTGAATTAGGTTTGTTTTCGATTTAGATTCCAAATGTATTTTGATTTTTGTTTAGAGAGAGGCCAGCTTGATAGAGTTGATTTTTATTTTTGGAATTAATTTTTTATTATTTGTTTTTTAATCAATTTGAAAGAGGGTTGACAGTGTGTTGATCGCGTAGATTTTTGAGTTGAGTTGAATTAGGTTTGTTTTCGATTTAGATTCCAAATGTATTTTGATTTTTGTTTAGAGAGAGGCCAGCTTGATAGAGTTGATTTTTATTTTTGGAATTAATTTTTTATTATTTGTTTTTTAATCAATTTGAAAGAGGGTTGACAGTGTGTTGATCGCGTAGATTTTTGAGTTGAGTTGAATTAGGTTTGTTTTCGATTTAGATTCCAAATGTATTTTGATTTTTGTTTAGAGAGAGGCCAGCTTGATAGAGTTGATTTTTATTTTTGGAATTAATTTTTTATTATTTGTTTTTTAATCAATTTGAAAGAGGGTTGACAGTGTGTTGATCGCGTAGATTTTTGAGTTGAGTTGAATTAGGTTTGTTTTCGATTTAGATTCCAAATGTATTTTGATTTTTGTTTAGAGAGAGGCCAGCTTGATAGAGTTGATTTTTATTTTTGGAATTAATTTTTTATTATTTGTTTTTTAATCAATTTGAAAGAGGGTTGACAGTGTGTTGATCGCGTAGATTTTTGAGTTGAGTTGAATTAGGTTTGTTTTCGATTTAGATTCCAAATGTATTTTGATTTTTGTTTAGAGAGAGGCCAGCTTGATAGAGTTGATTTTTATTTTTGGAATTAATTTTTTATTATTTGTTTTTTAATCAATTTGAAAGAGGGTTGACAGTGTGTTGATCGCGTAGATTTTTGAGTTGAGTTGAATTAGGTTTGTTTTCGATTTAGATTCCAAATGTATTTTGATTTTTGTTTAGAGAGAGGCCAGCTTGATAGAGTTGATTTTTATTTTTGGAATTAATTTTTTATTATTTGTTTTTTAATCAATTTGAAAGAGGGTTGACAGTGTGTTGATCGCGTAGATTTTTGAGTTGAGTTGAATTAGGTTTGTTTTCGATTTAGATTCCAAATGTATTTTGATTTTTGTTTAGAGAGAGGCCAGCTTGATAGAGTTGATTTTTATTTTTGGAATTAATTTTTTATTATTTGTTTTTTAATCAATTTGAAAGAGGGTTGACAGTGTGTTGATCGCGTAGATTTTTGAGTTGAGTTGAATTAGGTTTGTTTTCGATTTAGATTCCAAATGTATTTTGATTTTTGTTTAGAGAGAGGCCAGCTTGATAGAGTTGATTTTTATTTTTGGAATTAATTTCTGGGCGGAAAAAAAAAAAAAAAAAAAAAAAAAACTGTTTTTTTGGCCAACCCCCAGCTGACACCTCACTGGGTGTCACCCCAGCTGGGGGTAGGAAGCTTTTCTGAAGATCTAAATCTCACAATATATTCGTTAAATTTCAGTCATATCTCCTTATTATGAGTAAAATTTTAAACAAAATTTCAGAATAGGTAACTTTACGCCTATTAGGATTCATTTGATGATGATTTTTTTAGTTGATTTTTTGATTTTTTAGCCTGAGATTTTTTTGTTTGTTTGGTTATCTTGTTTGGCTTTTTTGCATTTAAAATGATGTTTCTGAAGTGAAATGACAAAATTGCCCTCCACTTGGAAATGATATTTTTTGACTTTTTGTTTGTATATGGATCAACTTGGTAATTTTGTTTTGGCATTTTATGATTTTGTAATTTTTTTTGTTATGTGATTATTTAGTCCCATAATAAATGCCAAACCGGGGCTTAGTATATTGCCCAATGGTACAAAGAAGATGAAATACAATAATAAAAAAAAGGGCAAATTACATATACTCCCCTCGAGGTTTGACTAAATTATAGATACCCTCTTGAGGTTTGAGAAATTACAAATTCCTCCCTGAATGCTATATTTGCATAAGAAATTAGGGGGTAATTTGTTATGAAATATAAACCTCAGAGGGCAAATTGTTATGAAAGTATAAACCTCAGGGAGCAAATTGTTATGAAAATACAAACCTCAGAAGACGGGATGTAATTTCTAAAACTTCAAGGGATATTTATAATTTAACTAAATCTCGAGAGAGGTATATATACTTTGTTCTAAAAATAATATGCAAGCAAGTACATGTACTTCATTTAACGGATGTAAAATTTGTGTAGTAGACAAATTTGGACTAGAATGTTAGAAGATGTGGAAGGGATGGATGAGCACGAAATACAAATATAAATTTTTTGCACACAATAATCCAATAGATCAATCATTTGTGCCCGATGTCATCCACATATATATATTTTAATACTTAAAAAAAAAAAAAAACTAATGAAATGGATTTTAAGATTGGGTTCAACCATTTTTTTTTTCTGGATAAA